ATTCTCGTCGTCAATGCTGTTAGTTCGTAAGAAGGATGTGACTCGGCAATTTTGTACCGATTACTAAGCCCTCAATGCAGTGACCATCAATGACTGTTTCCCTATTATGATAGTGGAAGATATGTTGGATGAGCTGCATGGGGCCGTATACTTCACCAAACTGGACCTCACTGCAGCGTATCATCAAATCAGGGTCCACTCTGCAGACATACCTAAGACCGTGTTCAGAACCCACAATGGCCCTTATGAGTATATGGTAATATCTTTTAGTCTATGTAATGTACCCTCTACTTTTTCAAACTATTATGAATTCAGTTTTTTGACCATACCTCCGGAAGTTTGTTCTGGTTTTTTTTATAATATTTTAATCTATAGTGTCAGCTGGAAATTGCACCTCATCCATGTCAAGACAGTTTTTGGGGTCCTCAAACATCATCAATTTTTTGTGAAGCTCAAAAAATACACATTCAGGCATCAAGAGCTAGAATACTTTGGCCATATTATTACCTAAGAAGGTGTCAAGGTAGACTAGCGAAAAATTCAAGTCATGTTGGAATGGCCGAGACCTACAACGATCACAGAGCTTCGAGGTTTTCTGGGACTCACAGGATATTATCGCAAGTTTGTACAGAACTATAGAATAGTGGTCCGTCCTCTCGCAAACTTATTAAAAAAAAGGTCCTTCTAGTGGAATACAGAGGCAAAAATCGTCTTCATTAAACTTAAGCATGCCATGACCACCACCTCTACTCTGGCACTCCCCAACTTTAATGAAGCCTTTACCATAGAAACTAATGCATCCGGAGAAGGAATTAGGGCAGTCCTCACCCAACAAGGCAAACTCATTGCATATATGAGTTGTTTTTTGGGGGCATCGAAGTTATCGTGTTCCACCTATGCCAAAGAGTTATTAGCCATCGTCATTGCAATTCAAAATTGGAGGATGTATCTATTAGGTCGTAAATTGTTTATCAAAACTGATCAACACAGCTTGAAGTACTTGATGGACCAATGAATCATCACCCCGGAATAGCGAAAATGGGTCTCTAAGTTGTTCAGTTATGATTATGAGATATTGTATAAGCCAGGCAAAGAAAACCAAGTGGCGGATGCTTTATCCCAACAATTCTATAATCCTACCATGCATGCTCTCTTTACTACCAGCACAACTCTATGAGATCATATCAGAAAGGAGTCCGAAAAAGACCTCTATGTCCAAAAAATTATAAAGAAAGTGAGATAACAACCTAGTCAACCATATCTAAAAAAAAATGGACTGATCTACTACAAACACCGCATTATCATCCCTCCTATATCCAGTATAGTCAGCAGCTTCTACAAGTCTATCATGATTCTCCTATGGGCAGTCACTCTAGTATTCTTCGTACATATAAATGGCTAGTGTAGCAATTCTATTAGTCTTCCATGAGACGGACCATCCAGGACTATGTTAACATGTGAGATATGCTAGCGAGCCAAGTCCGAAACTTTGTCTCCAGCAAGGCTCCTACAACCTCTACCGATTTCGTGTCAGGTATGGGATGACATTACCATAAATTTCATTGAAGACATTTCGCCTTCCTAGGGCAAGAATATTATTTTAGTAGTTGTCGACTGACTTAGAAAATTCGCTCATTTATTGGCATTAAGTCACTTGTACACCGCCAAAGTGGTAGCAGAAAAATTCACTGAAAATATAATCAAGCTCCATGGCATGCCTCGCTCCATTGTAAGTGACCGGGACCCTATTTTTATTAATCATTTTTTGCAAGAGTTCTTTAAACTTTTAAAGACCAAACTGAAGATGAACTCGACCTACCACCCTCAAACCGATGGTCAATCAGAGGTAGTCAACCAATGTGTTGAACAATATCTCTAATGCTTTTCACATTAGCGGCCCAATAAATGGTGCTCATTCCTTCTGTGGGCAGAATATTGGTATAACACCACCTACCAGTCATTCATTAGAATGACGCCCTTCCAGACATTATGGACTGCTGCCACCCACCATCCCTCACCATATGGAATGCATGACAGCTGTGAATGAGGTTGACCAACAGTTAACTGCACGGGATAAGCTCCTTACCAGCTCAAGAATAACTTACAAACAACACAAAATCGTATGAAGCAATTAGCAGATAATCATCACCATGTGGAGTTTCAAGTCAGTCATTGGGTTTTCTTACACCTTCAACCTTACCGATAACAAACCGTATTTAAGAGGGCTATCCAAAAACAACCTTGCCGATTCTTTGGGCCATTTTATATCGAAGCACGAATTGGGCCAGTGGCATATCACCTCAAGTTACCACCCTTTTCCGACATCCATCTGGTGTTCCACATCTCCCTTATCAAAAAATAAGTCGAAGACCACACAATCCACATTAAAGACCTACCAATAATAAATGAAAACGGAACCGTCATCCTACAACTCGAAGAAATTCTGGACACCCACTGGCTAAAAAGAGGAACACAAGTAGTGGAAGAAAGTCTAGTCAAATGGAAGCACCTTCCTGTAGATGATGCAACTTGGAAAAATACAGACGAATTACGAGACCGCTTCCTTAACTTAAACCTTACGACAAGGTTTATTTTCAGGGGGGAGTGACGATGAAACCCCATCAAGAAGATCTAGTCAGGGGCCCAACAGGAATCCCAAGTATCTCCAGTAATTGCCCGTTACCAGTAAAAGAAACAGTCAATAAAGAATCCTTAGTGAATCCCACGACTCCACGATCTGCTCTTCCACAAACCCCAGTATCTCTTTTTGCTTTTATCATTTATAATTTCTGATAATTATCTAGAAGCATAGAAGTAGTAAATACAATTGTAATCTTTTTCTATTTAAACACTTCAAAATCAAGAATAAAGGGCAAACATTTTTGCAGAATTCTCACTAGTCTTTCTTGCCAAAAGGAGAAAACTTTTTATTGTTATCTTGTGCATTTGACTGGGACCAACAAATATATGGTCTTAAACAATTATAAAGGCAATGGTATGCCAAATTCTCAGACTTCATTATTGGGCAACGGTTTACACAATCTACCGCTGATTTGTAGTCTCTTTGTTAGAAAAGATGGAGGTGACTTCACTACAATTTTAATATGTATGGATGTCATAACTATGGCTAAAAACAACAATCATTTAATTTATGAATTAAAAAAAGTAATGAAAAAAGAATTGAAAATCAAAGACGTTGAAAAAATAAAGTATTCTTTTGTGGATTGAAATGACTCGGTCAAAAGGGAAAATCTACATCTGTTAGAGAAAATATGCTCTTGACTTGTTTAAGGACACTAGCACATTAGGAGAGAAAATCTAAAAGGTACCGTTGGATCATAACATTAAGTTATTGAAATATGATTGTAAGCCTATTATTTATCTAACAATGTACAAAATACTGACTAAGAGACTCGTGTATTTGATCCTAACGAGACTAGACATAACCTACACAATGCAATTCTTGAGTTAGTTCATGGAGCAACCTAGAGGCAAACAACACACAAGGTCTTAAGGTACATTAAAGGTACTTTTAGACAACAACTATTTTATTTTAACTCATTAGAGTTAAGGCTAAATGCCTATAATGACAGCGATTGCAGAGGATGTTTAAACACTAAGTGAGTCACAAAATACTGCATTTTGATGGTACTTCTTTAATCTCCTAGAAATTTAAAAAGCAACAAAATATTTTTAAATCTTCGTTTGAAGCATAATACAGAGTCATGGCGAGTGTGTTGTGAACTGACGTGCATATGACATTTTTTAACTACCTTTAGGATTGACATTTTAAAAACTCTTGTATTATATTATGATAAGAAAGTTGTAATGCACATAACAGATAATCCCATGCTTCATAAAAGAATAAAATACATTAAACTTAATTGCCATGGTGTAAGAGAACATTATTTCAAGACATATGGAAAGTAAGCAACAGTTTGCAGATATATTCATCAAAGCTATCGAGTGCATTACTTAGCCAATACATGATCAAAATCAGAGTAAAAAGTATTTACTCTCCATCTTGAGAGGGAATGTTAAAGGATTGAAGAGCATAGAGCCCAATTACCCAAGCCCATGGGCAATGAAGAAGTGGTTACATGTCATAATGAATGGCATGTGCGGTATGTGTGTGTATATATATGTAAATCTATATAGGTGTATTAGGCTAAAATTGGTGTTGTTGAGATGTATAAGTTATGTAGGTATACCATTATTTATGATTAAATTGTTAGGTTACTCATGTTTTAGAGATTAAATTATGTATTTGCCCTTTTTTAAATAGTAATTGGGGATAGTTTTTGGTATAATTTTTTTTAATGGTGGAATAAAAATTTTGCTAGCATATACCAAAATATATTATGATAACAAAGTGTTTGTAAATATGCCATATCCTTTTACCAAAGCATCTATAGATATTCCACAATACCTTATTATTGAAGCTCTAGTAAAGAGAGATAAGAGTTTTAGGAAAACTCTGAATGGCTTGAAAATGTAATTTAAAGCATCCATAAATATTTGTTTTCTCAATAATTATAAGAAATTGAAATTTTTAACTAATAATATTTTTATATTCTATTAAAATTATGACATTGTTTTATAAAATTTTTTTATAAAATATTAATTCTTATTATTTCGAATAAAATTTTTATTACTGTCTCATAATTAAATTCAAAAAAAGTTATAAATAAAAATTATTTATACCTAGCAGATCTTAAAGATATATATAGATATATATATATATATATATATATTAGGCATTTGTTAAATTTAGCTAACTAAATTTTAATTTTATTTAGAAATTTCAAATAAAATTGATTCTTTTGGATATTATTTTTAAGTAAAATATTATTCTTTTATATTAGTAGATGTTCAAATAAATTATACAAATAATTTTTTGAATAAAAATTTATATATTTCAATAATTATGCTGCACGTACACACCATACGCAATCAATTTTTTTATTAAATACATATATATGATGCATAATATAATTTAAACATACCTTTTTATTTAAGAATTAATTATCCAACAAGCTAATAAAAATTTAAATTAATTCAAAAAAATAACTTAAAATACACAAAAGGCATAAAGCGAGGTCCCAGAACTAAATGACGGAAAGACAGAGCCGAGGTTAACCCTGTAACCATTTCCAATATAAACACACCCATCACTAACTGACCCACCACCATAAATAGTAGCCTCTGTATTATATGACCATAAAATCTTCCCAGTTTTAGCATCCATTGCATATAAAGGTCCATCTTTAAAAGTTGAACCACCAAACAGCACACCATTTGCCACAGTCACAGGGCCATTAGCAGTTGCATTGGCAGGGTCAGCAACTGACCATACTATTTTTCCACTGCCAGCATCCATAGCCACCCATCCACCAGTCGTTGAGATTTCTTTGGATGGCTTTAGAGTGAAATTCTTGCCATTAGAATTAGCAATGTTGGTGTAAACTCTTTCTCCATCTGTTGCTGCTCCCCAGGTTCCCCCTCCCGTAAGACCTCCTGGGCCAGCTTCCTATACCCGAAAAAAAATTAATCATTAGTGTAAATGTACTAATTAGAAAAACTTAATTCAGAATCAACTCACAGTAGACCAGAAGAGGGTGCCATTATCACGATCTAAAGCCCAAGCAAAGCCACTTTTTTGAACAGCGACACTACATCTTTATTAGTTCTGTTAACACAGATGCTTAACATCATTGGCGCCTCCCCGAAATCTGCATCTGGGTTAGGTCCCGGAGGGCAACTAGGAGTTGAAAGATTGTTACAAGCGAAAAACCATACATCATAGCCTCCCAATTGATGGAACCACTTGATTGTGCCAGTGTCTAAATCAAGGGCTAGGATTGAATTTGAATGGTTCTCTGGCTCAACACATTTATCTGGATGTGTAGGTTGTGTTTGATTATTCTCTCTTTCTTGGCATTCCCTTACATGTGAAGGTGCTGAGTACAAGTTTCCTGTGGCAATATATACATGATTTCTGTAGATATCTATGGAAGGACTGCTACCCCAAATGGCTGCTCCTGCATACTCTCCAACTTTGCCAAAATTATCAGGCAACATATATGTTTGCCACAACAATTTGCCTGTTCTAGTATCTAATTTGGAAAAACTACCACGAAACGTACAACAATTATCGATACTTGCACCTTCTTCAAGAGAAGATGTACCAACATAAAAACCCCTATTCAGACCAAGTTAGATAAAAACATAGTCAAACTCTAATAACACAACAAAATATATATGTACATATGTATATAATATTGTTACCTGTTGAAATATGTTCCAGACATGGTAATGACGCTTGCAGGATGATCATCAAGCTGGGTTGACCATACAAGCTTCCCTGTGGATCTTTTAACAGCAATAACAACAGCTGGGCCATATAATCCAATAATCAACAAATCATCTGCAATTGCTGGAGTTGTTCTTGACACAGTTGTGTTCACATTAATAACAAGACCTGAACCATTAATCCCTGTTAATTCAAACAAGTTTTTCTCCCAAACAAGTCTTCCATCTGTTTGGTTCACAGCATATAAATATCCATTCCAGCTTGGAAAATAAACTGTTCCATCATAAATTGCTGGTGTTGCTGTTGTATCTGAACCTGTATAGAATCCCCACTTCAATCTTAGCTTTGAAACTGTTCTACGACTAATCTTATTTTCGTTCTTTGCATATCTGCGGTTATATAAATCTCCACCATGATTTAACCAGTCTTGTTTCGCTGTAATCTGTTTTGTAATTAAACATATCATTAACATCAATATTGGAATATGTCAATTTATATATCTGTAATTTTGAAGAAATGAGAGAGCTTACTTGTAAATCTGATACGGCTGCGATGGCTAGAAGGCTGAAGATGCATAGTGAGAGTTGAAGAGAAAGACTTTTGCAGAATCTGCCAAGCGCCATGGAAGTTGAATTAGCTATTTTTGTTATTGATTTACAAGTTAAGAGTACTAGTTTATATAAATTAGTAGACTAACCATTTTGTTGACTTCCTGTCAGATATAATGTTCGTACTTTCGTCATCTAGAGCTTTTCCCTGGTTCTTTATTTAAGAGGAAAGAGATTGCATTAGACAATAACATATTGTAGTTAAATAAAAATATGTAATCAAAGTCAGTTTTTGATACAATAATTTTGCTTTCAAGTATGAGTTCGTCATATTTATACATAAAAATTTGCAGCAAATTTTGACTTTTAAAACATAAATATAAACACATAAATGAATATTACAGATGCCAGAGTGACGCGAGACAAAAATTCTAAAAATAATTTCATTTAAATTTCAAAATTCAGTGCCTTTTTTAAATGTGTGATCACACGCAAATTAATTTATTAATCTATATTCTTTTTTCTCTCTGTTCGTCTTCTTATCTCCACACAAAAGTGGTATCGGAGTGCTTTCCTGGCAAAAATGTCGGTCTATAGTAATATAGGATCGCAAGAAAATAGGAAAATCAAGGAGGTAGCAAAGAAAATGAGAGATGTTGAAAAGAAAATGAAGCAAGAACAAGGCATAATGAATCAAGAATTGGGTGAAGTGAAGATAGTTTTACCAATGATCGGCAAGCAATTATCCACAAGCAGTCAATTGGATTCCCGACGACAGGAAGGAGAAGTGAAGAAAGTGTTGAGAACTCTCTTATATTCCTCAGATTTTCAATCTTCTAAACTCTCAAAAATCTCTTCCTTCGACATGTTTCTTCTTCTTTTCCACTCGAAAAAACCCAGATGTTTCCTCTTTCTCCCTCACGTCCGAGTCCTCTTTTATAGCCGAAATCCACCATCATCATGCGCTAAGGATCTTCAATTGATCCTCCTTGTCTCGCCGTTCTTGGAGGGATATATGACCCCTGAAAAATCCTACATTTTCCTCCTTTTTCAGCCCCATAATTCCCCATTCTCATCTCTTTTTCTGCTACCCAAAAAGCCTATGACTTCTTTCCTTTTTAGTTGGATTGGGTATTTAAAATTGGATTTTCTGGCTCAGGCTTGTTTTAAAAGAAGAATAAGTCGGCTTTGTCTTTTAGGCTTTAATAATGGAAAAAAAATGGAGGCTTTAACAACGGCGTCGTTTCATCTCAACTGGAATTTGAAACGAGACTCGAAGCCTGATACTCCTATCATCTGCCTCTCTCGCCAGGATTCACTGTAACTCGGGAAACCCATAGATGGGTTCTCTGTATAGAGCCTCAAAAGCCCTAAAATCGCAAAACCATGGATTTTCTCTGCTCTACAATTCATCCAGATTTTGGCCACTATCTTCTATATTGAGACAAACTTCACACCCTACTTGCTTAAACAACCAACCGGGACTAAACCACCCGTTTTGCAGTCGTCCCCGCCAAAACAACAAAGAAACTACAATAGATTTGAGCCAATACCCACCTGAAAAGATTAGAAATTTCTCGATAATTGCACATGTTGATCACGGAAAGTCCACATTAGCTGATCGGCTTTTGGAGCTCACTGGTACTATCAAGAAGGGCCATGGTCAGCCTCAGTACCTTGACAAATTACAGGTGCGTCGTTTCTTCAGGAAGAACCTAGAGTTGGAAATTATTCTGGTTTACGGGTCATTTGAATTAATTAAATGAGCCAAATATGGAGTAATATTGTGACGAATTCTTTAGATTGAATTCTGTGCAAGAAAACATATTTTGGTGTATGTTTTGTACGTTAGTTCTTCTTAGTTGTCCCTGTATTTCTGTTCATTTTAATTTTCTTGTAGAGTTTGTTATTTTTCTATTCCAATAACTATAGTCTGTTACGTTATATTGAAGTTATGTTTTATTATTGGTATTCAGAAATACTTCTCTTGTTTTCTTGTAAAACCTTCCATTTACCTTTTGTTGTAAATTCTGGAAGATTTTGCTCTTGCAAGTGATGAGACGTTAATGTCAACTCAGTGCTGCCTGAACTTATAGTATCTACCTAAAAATTTCCATTTCTGATTATAACTGTACTGGAAATTTTTTAATCATGTGTACTAACAATGCCAAGTATTTAGCTATGTCATTGGATCCGGTTGAAATAATGTCTAAAAAATATCCACTTTTCTCATGTTTACGTGGAGGGAGATTATGCTATCAGAAATGCTCTATAAAATGAATCTAATTTTTTGGTGTTGCAAAAGTTACTGAAATTTTGACACTATTAGGTAGAAAGAGAAAGGGGGATCACTGTCAAAGCTCAAACAGCGACCATGTTCCACAAACACAAGTTCCAAGGATGTGGAACTAATTGTGACCTCGAACCTTCAGGTTTCCTATTGAATCTAATTGACACACCTGGTCATGTGGATTTCAGCTATGAAGTATCAAGATCTCTGGCAGCTTGTCAAGGTGCCCTTTTGGTTGTTGATGCTGCCCAGGGAGTTCAGGCACAGACAGTTGCTAACTTCTATTTGGCCTTTGAATCTAACTTGACAATAATACCTGTCATAAACAAAATTGATCAGCCTACTGCTGATCCTGACCGTGTTAAGGCTCAGTTAAAGTCAATGTTTGATCTTCAGCCAAGTGATACCCTTTTAACATCTGCTAAAACTGGTCAGGGTCTTGAGCAAGTCCTTCCTGCTGTCATAGAGAGGATACCTCCCCCTCCTGGGATCATTAGCTCACCATTGCGTATGCTTTTGTTGGATTCTTACTATGATGAATACAAAGGAGTAATCTGCCATGTTGCAGTTGTTGACGGTGCACTTCACAAAGGGGACAAGATTTCATCTGCTGCAACTGGCCA